AGTAAGTTAAACGTCTTGTATGCCCTAGAAAGTCAGATTTGAATGAGAAACTCTATTGAAGAACATCTGATCTACCCAATTATTCCTTGAAGTATAAACATGTCATTTTACATATCCAAACTGAAGTACACACCAGTAAAAATGAGCAGAAAGCTTGGGGAATGTGATGGTTTACCTCAGAAATTCCTAATTTAAAAAAACTAAACATAAAACCAGATACATAAAGAAAGAACAAGCTGGTTTAATGAAAAAAAACAGGTATTTTTACTGTGTTTTTTCTTTAGCATTCTTGAGCATAGTGAAATTATGTCACCTTTCAAAGATTCAAGAGCAGTTTTTGCTTTAGTTCTGAAGTCATACTTACAGCTGTGTTGGTACTCAGGCATAGGTCTGAGGAACTGGCTGAAAAATCACCTCCTGCTTCTCTCTGGTTTGAAAACACAACTGCATTATCTCTTCTGGATATGGTGATGAGTTTGATCTACACTAACTACCACAATGGCATTGTGCACATCAACAAAGAAATGTGATAATCCTCTAGCAAAAATTAATTTATTAATGAAATGAATAATTAAATCTGCTGAAAAACACATTTGCAGGAAGTTAAGCAAAGGTGTTTTGAATAAGAATGGGGCTTTTTCTTAAATCTATAAGTACAATAGACTTGCTAAAGTAAATAACCCTGTGAGTTACTTACCTCATAATGTATTTAGTTATAATATTAAATGGATAAAGTACTTGATCATCTCCCAGGATAATAAAGCTGGTGGTATGGAGAAAAGCCTCCATGGGATTAAGAGAGAGTTAAAACATTTCAAATATGCAATTAAAGGCATTCTAGCATGCCTGTGATCTCTGCTCTGGTTTCTTATTTACAGAGAAGGAAAACTGGCTCAGACCTCCTAGACTAAGACAAGGAAGTATGCAAAATCGAGCAGTCTCTGTGCCAGCTCTTGCTAATCCTTTTCAGTATGGTTTGCCGCTAATTTGTCATGGCACATATTTGCCTTATGTCTAATTAGCATCAAATTGCAAACTGCTATTTGCTAACAATTTGTTGCATCAATCTGCTTGAAAATCTATAGTTTAGAACTGGATTGCAGCTTATTCTGTCTATCAAAATTCTATTTCATACACATCACAGTAAACTATTTGCCTCTAAAAAAAAACATTGCAGTGCTCTTCCCTACAAAGAAAAGTACATTTTAAAAGAATGCCTCTGCAAAGTGGTAGTTTTTGTTCCTTTGTTTCGCCCTCCATTTATATTTTTCTATAACATGCTTATAACTGGAGTTAAATAAAGAACAGCTTGTTCTTTGTTTAGAGTTAGATCTAGCTACAACTGCCTCATCCCTAAAATAGAATAGATATATACAAAATTATTATCTATACTTTGGAGAATATAGGCAAGACCTTTACAACACAAATTTGTGCTGGAATTGGCTCTCAAAATACAGGAAAAATTTCAGCCAAGGAATTTGCCAGGTTTAGGAACCGGCTAATCTCTTCTGTTTGACACCCACAGGTATTAAAATAAACAAATAGCTAAAAATCTTTGTCACAAACAACACATAGTGTTGCAGAGATGTTCTTCAATGGAATCATAAGTGATGTGGGAGATGTTTATGCATAAGATTTCCTCCCCCGCTATGCCTCATTAGAAACAGATGGAATACTGCTGCCACATGCATTGCAGGGGATGGATGGAAATGTGTCAGAGCAGGGCCTGGCTGTGCAATTCACTCCAGACCTGCACTAAATGTTCTAAGCAGTCTCCTGCACTCTATTCCAGCGATGGCACGGGGTCATCAAGCCAGCACAGCCACATGCTGCTTCTCTGGAAGCAGGACTCCATCTTTCGTGGGCTGAACTTTCATATCTAGATGTGGTACAGATGGAAATGATGACGGTTTTTTTTTTTCCTTCCAAGCCACAAAGAATTTGACATTCCAAAAGTATTACACCTGGAGAAAGCATGATTCATAGGGATGAGAGAGAGATGGTGGGAGTAAACAATAAAACAAGATGAGAAATCCAAATAGGCAGCACCCATTTAAGTACTCTGGGTCTCAAACTGCAGTTGCTTCTGCGTTTTCCTTTGTCATTTTGATCCAAAATTCCATACTGGGCACCAGACATGTTTTCTTCAAGTTTGAACAAAATCAGAATAATGTTTGCCTTTCTGTGAGTTGGTGTTTGCTATAGCAAACAAGTGTAGCCAAATTTTCTGCCCACTTGTATGTAAAGTTTGCATACTTTCTCCTTGTGAGAGAATGAGCCAAGCTCAGTACAAATGTTGTCAAACAAAATGAAGCTTTCAGAGCTGAGTGAGAAGACAAGTCTGTCTTTGCTGTATCTATACCCAACAAAAACTCTTCAAAAGGTTACAGGGAATTGAATGCAACCTTCACAAGCAGATTGTATAGACATTTAAGAAGTGCTAACTATTAAGATGAACTCAGCTCCCCACAGCTTCAGTGAATGTGGAGGTAGAAGCAGGCTCAGAACTTCAGAGTGCTGAAATAAGAACAGCCATAAACACTGACAGAGCAGCTTGAGCTGGAGCTGACTGAGGTCCCTCTCCACCTGAATTATCCTAAGAACTGCCACCTTATTTGATCAATTTTTTACTAATTCAGGGGTTTTTTTCTGTATTCTTCATTTCTCTCAAATCAAACTCCAACACAGATGGATACTGGTTGTCACTGCTGCCTGCAAAAGCACACTGGAGGGCTGGAGAAGAAAACTGCTACAAGTGATAGAAACAGAGTTAAGAGAACTCCCTGTTTCCATTAAGAGCATGGGACACCCCCCTTTTTTATACCAGGAGCAATAATGACATATTAATTACACCTAAGGGGAAGCTTTACCTTTCCTTTAAAAGCTGGAAATGCATGAAGGGGCTCACAAACCAGGGGCTCAAACCGGGAAAAAAACCACCACAGAAACATAACCGGCCATTGTGAGAAGACACCACTTTAAGAAATGAACATAATCCATGTCACAAATATGGATTTCTCACTATGAAGAAGTGCTTCTGCTTTTTATGGATTGTACCCATATGAGCTGGACATGAATGGCAAAGTGAAAATACTCACTGAAGGAACACAGCTTTTCCTGAATTTGTTTTATGATTATTAACATGTCACACTCATTTCCAAATGCGTTAATTTCACAAATTTTATAGAACTTATCTTCAATTGTATCCCTAACGGACAATATTTTAGAGACTGCACTAATTTCTCTCTGTTTCAAAATTATATAAATATAGCAAGGGCCAATTTTGCGCATAGAAGTGGGGATGCAATCTGGGCAGCTAAGCACCTCTTAATCTTCCAATCTGGAGAAATGAATTCAGGCTTTTTCATCTTGGCTGAAGGCAAACCAGTCTGTGTGCCCTGAATTCTCTCCAGATTTTCTGGAATCAGCAGTATGCCCCATCAGTAGCCAAGACAGCTCTGTTTCATTCTGCAAGTTGGTACAGCTTCAGTGGGAAGTTTAGGAATAGTTTTTCACAGCTTCCTAAAGTGAGAGTGATTTGAGGTCAGCAGAACTCACATATTCTACAAACATGCAGGAAAGAAGGATTCATTCATTGTTTTCTGTATAACAGTGCTGGTTTTCTTGAACAACTGAAGACCTGTTTTTCCATTTATACATAAATTGTCCATAGTTTCTGTAAAATAAAAACCAATATTTTCCTATGTTAGAAGAGATCAGACACCTTACAACCCTATAAAAACAAAGGAAAACATGGCTAAACCCCATTTTTGGTCCTGCTTAATTAAAAAGAAATAGAATAAATGTATTGGCAAAAAAAAAAAAAAAAAAAAAGTCATTTAAAAGTGTGCAGCCCTGACATAATTAGATCCACCACATCTAGGTCAGCTGAGGATGCAGGATTCACACACCAATTATTTATTCAAAACTTTATAACAGTGCATTTCAAGTGACAGCTCCTAGCTGTGATTCCTCCATGAGCTGGTAGAGCCACCATGCTCCATGCACATCTCAGTGGGCTCTGGAAAACACATCCCCACCTCATCTGAAAAACTCCAAAGGAACTGGATTTAAAGCAGGGAATGCCATAACCTCACTCATTAGTGGCAGGTCTCTAGTTTAAATCAGTCCTGGCATTTCATGGCCTGTGGCACCAGAGAAGAGAACTATCCATGAGCAGATTGAAAAACTTAGGTCTAAACTCACAAGGGAAGGAAGCAGCGGCATTGTGTGTGTAAAACCAAAACTTTTTTTTTTTAATGACAACCTCCAGGGGCTGCACAAATGAAAGGTGCCTTCCCCAGCCTCCCAAAACACCACCCCTGCCATAATCTGCCTGAGGGGTGGTGTTTTGGGAGGCACCTAACCAAGTGATAAGGGGTTTTAAACCCCCTAGAATTTAGAATAACAGCCCCAAAGGTGAGGGACTGACATATTGTTAAGTGTATTCATATCAGTACTCTTGGAAATGTCTGGCACATACCATATGCATATTTCATTTTATGCTTTTGTATAATGCTTGTAAAATATGTTGTGCAGCACATGAAAAGGGCTAATCCAAGAGCAGGGTAAAAGTCAGTGCTGCCAGATAGCAGACATCCTCCCTTGGCACTGAAGAGTTGTGTTTGGGCTCCCAAATTCAAACCATACTGATGCCTCAGTGATAGACATGTTCTACACCTCCTTCTTGAAGTAAACACAATTGCACATCTAGCTGGGTAGCTTGAAAAAGCTACTGGAAATGCTAAGAAAATGTTCAAAGTCATAACTAGGATTTGGGAGCTAATAATGGAAATAAATTTGCTTAGAAAAAGAAATCAAACCCTACAGTTTTTGACACTATGCAACACTCAAAATGTCACTGTAAATACATTTTAATCCTGATCCAATGACATGCTATATTCAGCATACAAGGGGACCTATGTGCCTCTTCCTTAGTCTTCTAGAATGCTTAACAACAATATACTTAAACATAAAACATGTTGCTCTTGGTTACATACCATAAATTGCCATACATCCCCTTCTTTCTTCTCATTCAGATTCTAATGAATGCTGCTCCACTGGTCAACTATAACAGAAGACAAAAAGTACTTTTCTCCTTGTCAAATCTCGCTCTGTAAAAAAATACCATTGTACTCCAGATTTAGGTTACATGGCTAGTAAGAAAAAACAGCAGAGTTTGGCAAATAAAGTCTCGAGTGGGAATTTTCTCCCATGGCTACCAGAGAAGAGAAATGAAATTTTCAGGCACAGCCCTTTCAAACTCCACAATAGAGCATGTGTGGGGTTTGGATACAATAAAAGGAGGAACCTGAGAGGAAAGTTGTTTTTGCAACCTCAATAATGAGAGCGAGCCTTGAAATGCTGGCAGTGGAGGAAGCATTTTCATTAGGTGTGCTTCACTTTCTTCCTCGGTGCAGCAATCCACTTACAGAAGCTGTGTGTTGTTACATGACACATTTCCACTTTCTTACAGAAGTGCCTGTGATTTTTTGAATGCTGTTTGTTGTTACTGCCTTTCTTCTCCGACACAATGCACCAATTTTTAACCTTTTCAGTAACCTAGTGACACCTCTGGGATATTACAGTATTCCTGTCAAAATGTCTGCTCTACAACAATAAACTTTACATTGATGTCTTGCTTTTTGGGAATAATTACACTGTTCCTTAAATGTTACCCTATTTACTATTTGTGCAAAAAGATGACAATAAAATCAATGCAACACAATTCCCAAATGTGCATCAAAGTCTTTTGCAATGTTAATGGATTAGTGTGTCCACAGAGGTGTAAGATCATTTTGTCCTGATGCCTGGACTTGAACGTTGTACACACTCACTCAAAGATAAACTTATTAATCCTTATCTGCTGAGCTCATCCCTTCACAAAGTTAGTTTAATCTCGCTGCATTTGTCAGGATTCCTTTTTTCTTTTCCTTCCTCCTTTTTTTTTTTTTTTCCCTTTATTTTTTTTCCCCTCTCCCTTCCTTCAGAGCCAAGGCTGGGAATGCTGCCCATCGATCAATAGGTGTATGATGAAGGAACTCCGTGCTGCTCCCCCTGACCAGCGGCGATGTTTTCCCAATGATTCCGCAGGAGTCAGAAACTCAACAAAGCGAATCGCGGCCGCTGTAAGGGGAGCATGCTGCTCATGTCTGTGACCACTGTATGCAAAGCTTGGCATTAGTCACCGCCAGGCCGCCTCTGACAGCCCTGAAGTGAGGGAGATTAATGTGAGGCAGGGGCACTTTATTATTGTCATTCTGTTCTTTCACACTCTGCCTCTGACTTTCAATTTTGCTCCAGAATTAATTGTCTGCTCCCTACAGTATGACTGATGTAGAAGGATACAAGTAACATAGGCACCTGGTTCTGGCCTTGACAGTCTGACTCGTTGGTGCAGGATGTATTGTGTACAGTCAAATTCAGGGACAGACGGGCATCTTTCAAAGAAATCAGCCAATGTTTCTTTTGACTTCAATCAGATTTGACTGTAGATTATCCTTCTCTAAGAACAATTTTTTTCTTGTAGAGATGCTAACAAAATGCCAGGGCTGTTATTAAGTACCACTACATGATACTGCTGCTCAGCTTTAGGCAGCCTCATATGAGGCCTTTCTCTCCAAGCTTTGCTTTTTATGTCGTAAGGCAGTAAATTAGTCATGTAGCAGTGTTTAATCCCTACCCTCTCAGAGTTAAGCATTGTTGTGAGAACATTATATATGGTATCTTAGACAATAAAAATACAAGGCTGTGCAAGTCAGTATCATTTACTATTTATTGGGCTAAGAGTTCCAAAGCAAATTACACACAAAGTAAGACAAATAGTTAAAGATCTTGTATCTAATAGAATATCTGACTGCATATCAGACTTAAAATGAACTGCTGTACTAAGAGATCAAAGAACATCTTCACTAGAGCACAGAGGATGAGAAAAAAAAAATCACTTTTCGGATGGAAAAAAATCATACAGAATCAGTCTTTGCACATGCACCCTATCTATCAGTCTGCTTTTTCTCAGTTTAACATCTGATGGTGACAAATGTAAAGGCACTTCCACACTGCAGTGAAACAAGTTCTACCTTTAGACAATAAGCATTTGCTGGTAGTCACAGACATTGCCACAGACATACAGGCAGTAATATCAACATTCCCTGCTCCTGTAAGTATGGGGAACTGTGGTATACCTGCTCAAGGCTTAGTTTTTAGGCCAAATATTCTAAAGTGCCTGTTAATACCTTTAGCTGGGTTTTTTCACTTTTGATCAGACTTTGATCAAATAAACTTTTCAGAGCTATACAGCTGAGAAATGATCAGATACATACAGCATGTATAGAAATAAACAACACTAATGTTTCACTGTTTAATGTTTTCCCCTTGCTACATAGGTGGGATTCCTCAAAAGGATCTCAGGAATTTTTTCCCAAATACCATCTCTCAATAGAACATGCAATAAATTATATTGAATGTAATTAATCTGCTCCTTCAATGTGACCATGATATTATTTAAAGGGTACAGAAATATGCTGAATTGTCTTTATCCTTGATACAAGAAAGAAAATTACCATAATTCAGGGAGGACGATCCCACCTCATTACATTAATAATTTACCACAATGTTTGAAAAACAAAATTATCTACCTGCATTTATGAAGGAAGAAGCTTTTCCCACTTGCTCCAGTTTTCCCAGACCTCTGGGCAAGGTAAATTTCAGGATGCATTTCAACTTCCTTGAAAGACACAAAAAGCAATGAGAAACTCTGCCTCTTTAAAAAGGTGTGCAAGTAAATGTTGTAATATCCTTCAAACCTGACATTAAGTATTCAAATGTTACTTAAGCAAAGTGTGAGCAATTAAATTAATCAATCTTCCCAGCCATGTACTGAACAGATGTTCAATAAATCCTCTCTGCTTACAGTGTGGGAGGAAGAAAGTCCACTTTTAGCTGTCCTTCAGTGATGACATCCCTCAGCCCGTCCTTTCTCCGGGCCTCATGGGCCACTGCCAGGCAGTTCTGCTGTGTTGTTCCTTTATTATAAATAACAACAGACCACCTGGACTACCTGCAGTACCTGGAAGCTGAGGTTTAATGATCCTTCAGGCTACATCCTCAGCTCTCTCCTGATCCCAGATAATGGGACTGATGGGAATGGCAGAGGAGTGACGGATGGCAGTGACGAATGGCTCCAGACAAACATGTGCTGACAACTAGTGAATATGGGGCAGCCTTGCAGAAAGGTCAAGATAAAAGTATTTGCTTGACTTTCAAAGTTTCCCTGTGAAAAAAACACTTGGAATCCTCAGATTTCTCACCACCAGATAACTTTGCCTGGCAGATGCGTACAGCAAGCTACCAGAGTGCCACAAATCTGGCAAACAGCACTGCAGGTGGGAACAACTACAACCTTTTAGTGAAGAAAAAAAATAAAAAATGAAAACAACTAGAACAAAGCTAGAACAGCTAAATTCCGCAGACATGCAAGAACCTGGATATTTGCAATTTTCAGTGTTAAGGCTGCTATCAGCTGCAAATATCGCCTCTTGTTTTTTAAGGTGTCTATTCTGACCAGGTTCCCACTCCAGCCCCAATCCCACTCTCCCACTGCCCCTCTGGCACGGGAAAGGCCACTCAGCCACCCCATCTTTCTGCCAATTAAGAAGTGAAGCTTTTCCTTAGCAGGATTTTAAAGTTTGCCTGGCAGTTCTGTGATGTGAAATTTGATTGCTACAAGATGTTCACATTGTCATCTCTACTTTAGAACCTCAGATTTCAAAAATGAAGGGACAGGTTTTTGCATCCTGCTCCCCAAACCTTAAATGAAAAATGCCATAAGATGCATATGATGCATCCCATAATCTCAACTTGTTACACATTAATATCAACTCTGATCAAATGAGACGACTGACATTCAAATCTAATGGTTAAAACCTCTGCACCACAGAAATACAACTTCAACCTTTTGAATGCTGCCATTCCATATATGGACTTTACCCATATTTTAATGAGGCTTTAAAATCCCTGAGATTAAGATAGTATTTTATATAGAACTGCCTGCTTTTTATGATATCCTGACATGTTGTACAACATTTGTGACTATATTGATCCTTATAAATTCAGCATCTATATATATTCCTGAAAAGCATCCCCTGCTCAGTCTGCAGCACAAACAGCAGGGCAGGACACACAGAGGGGGCAGTTCTTGAGCCTTTTGCTCAGCAGTAAATATACAGGTAAGGAATATTTTAGTAACACTAAACATTTTAGTTGCATAACACAGCCATACTTAAAAAAAAAAAATTGAAATATCACCCTCAAAATGCACAATAAAGAAAAGCCAGGGTTCTTTCTCAATTTTACCCTATTTCATTCTCCTTCAGACAAACCTGATTCAAATCCTGAGGGGGTGAACTGTACTCTTCTCCCACCTGGGACAGTTATACATCTTCATGCCCTCACCTTTGCCTGTCTGCAGAGACAAGCCTTCTTGTGTTTCCCCGTGCAGTTTCACACTTTTAATCTGAAACAAATGATTGCAGAAAAAAAAAAAAAAAAGAGAGCATTATCACCTTGGTGAGGCATCAGGAGTATACAGAAAAAAAAAAAAGAGACAGGGTCTATGGGCAAATTCATCTTCCATTGCTACAATCAATCTCTCACCTAAAGAAATACACAATAACTAGGCAGGAAAGGGCCAAGATTTATGGCCTAGAAACATCTCCACTGACCAGCATACACCAAGCCTTCCTGGCTCCCTCCTTGCCAGAATGGCTCTTTCTAACAGTTACAATGATATACTGTCTCTCCCTACTGTTTTACAAGTACATTAGCTTTATTTAATGAGATCTCTGAGTAATTTAACAGATGTATATAGGACATAAGACTAGAAAAACTCTTGCTACTTGAACACTTTTGCCAAGGTATTCTAGGGCTTGCTAATCTCCACTACCATGTTATATTCCATGAAATACTGTTATTGGAATTTTGGGAAGGTTTTTAAAAATCATTTTAATAGTAATGTTATATTATAACCTAATAGAATAGTGCCATATTCAACATTTGCTTGTATCAGGCCTATTAAAATAAGGTTAAAAGTGGTTACTTTAATGCTTCAAAATTATTTATATATTAAAAGGCAGAGACCAATATACTGGTTAAATCTCACAATCTGTTCTTTCCTGTGACTTCAGCTTCATGTCCCAAGGGATAAAAGACAGATTCTTCCCTTTTAAAAACATATATTCACATTTAAAGTTCACAATGATTGGATCACTCAGTAAGAAAACATTTCAAAGTACTATACTCTGAGGTTTTGTTTAATATATGAAGTATAACCAGTCATTAAACACAATAGCTCTGCTTTCCATTATTTTATTATTTCTGTTTCTGAGCAACAGACAATGTTTTGGATGGCTGCTGTTATCCAGCAAAGTAATTTTAAATAATAGTGATATACAATAAAATATTAAGTGAAAGAAGCTTGCAATAATAACTTTTTGAATAACTCTAATAAGCTACCATCAACAATACTGGGGGTGGCAATAAGGAATTACCTGTTTAAAGTAACATTCAAACAATTTTTCTCAGTAAAAAAAAAAATAGGCATAAACTCTATGCATTTGTCTGTGTATCTTTTGCAGCAGTGAATCTACAAAAATCCATACAGTGTGTTGTTGTTTTCTCATACATTATACTTTTAAAATTGATTAAAAATAGAATATTGCCCCAGATTCAGTAATGACTTCAATGAACTACATTTAAAAAAATTCAACAACTTCAATTCTACCCAGTGGTGAGACCAGTACTAATTGAGTTTAGTGGCATTTTTCTGTAAATAATATATAGTCTCATTAAAGAAGGTTTATTTTAGTTTGAAAACATATTTCTTTTTAAAATTCTTTTAAGCTGAAGGGGCAAAAATGGGGGGGAAAAAGGATGAGAGTAATATTTACTATTCTGGCAAAGTGTTCAACATCCCTCTGGCTTCCAGTATATTGTGTTAACCATGAATTAGAGCATAAAACACAGGTTGAGCACATTTATATATAATTATTCATAGAAGTCTATGGAATTTACAACAAACATGCTACAGCATGTCTAATATTTAGAGAAAATAAGTATCTGACCAAAATAAGTATCTGACCAAAGTAAATATTCTGACCCACCTCCTGAATGAACCACACCTCAGCCAGAGGCAAGGATCCCATGTTTAGAAAGCAGGAAACACCAAGTTGTGGGCAGAAAACATGAATATTTCTTTAAATATCAGAAAACACTGACAAATCTCAGGGTGCAAAATTATGGAGAGTCACCATGCAAAATTATGCTTGAAATCAAGAAGAAATAACATGAGTCCTGGAGTGGAAAAGGATGGGGGAGAGAGAGGGAGAACATGAGCTGATATAGAGCAAAATCATGGCATGAAATTTCATTTCTTGAGAGCTATACATCAAGGTGCATTTGTTTAATGAGGTTGGCACCAGAAAGATGTATAGAACATGTCAGACACCCAGTACCAGAGCGTTCTGGGAAAAAGATAACATCTGAGGATCTGACCACTCACTTCGTCTTCGAGCCAGACTTCTCTATCTACTGGTTCTTCAGGGGATTATAAATGAGAGGGCAAGAGGAACAAGGAGCAAAATAATGAAAAACAACACGAAAAAAGAAAAATTATAACATTGTAGAGCCAAGTAAAGCCAAATTTATTGACCTCACAACTACATAATCAAGAGAAAGTTATCACTGTGGAAACTTTTACTAAAGCAGAATGATCTTAAATAACCAGGGAGTGCTATGAAATTTACAGCACTTTTAAGATATGCAAATTGAATGCAAGGTATAGACATAAGGGTAATTAATTGTAAATCTAAGAATAATGTTTCTTTGTCAGGGCTGTCTCCATGTTGTGGAATACATTCTAATGTGCCTTAACTCTGAATATTTCTTAAAGGCTGGTCTAATTATGAGATGTTCAGAATTTCAAAATAGTAGTTATTCTTATCGTTTAATATAGCTGCTGTAAAGTTTCATAACAAAATTTACTGATTACATGAAAATATTTTATTTTAATTTCCAAGGATAAAGCACTTGTTTAAAAGTCTAGGCACTGAGTCTTTACCTTGGAAAAAATAATATGATGGAAACAGCTTTTGCCTAAAGCAGTGTTTTGTGGTGCTTTTTGTTTGGTTTTTTTTTTTAAGGAGCAGAAAGGAAAGCAGCAAAGACTCAAAATAAGTCTAAATGTAAATATCTTTATCTGCTGCATTTTCTATGTTATGGTGCTGGTTTTCTAAGGGCTTTATAGAATTATATAGACTCTTGTAATTCCATTATTTACTTATATTTTCATTTAATTGAAGTCATTCATGTGACAAAAACTCAGGTCAACCTTTCCATTGCAACAGGACCATAAAAATTCACTTTCTCATTTTAAAACCTGGCAAGGTTGGAAAGGAAATTTTCCAAGTTTGAAAGGAAATTCATATAAACATACAGAACATGTAAAACCTTTCACAGCAGTAATTCAAGTCCCTGTCAGCTTCAGTAGCAGGGCTATATATGTGGCTGTGCTTCCTGACAGAAAACCCAATATTTGAGCTGCTTTTAGCATTTAATTTGGAGAAATTAAAACGAAGCTTCTTTAGAGGGCAGCATAGTAAACAGTCTTCAATAAAGCCATAATTGCCAGGATGCCTTGGGTTTTTAGGGAAAAGACACAATATTAATCCTTGTGTCTTAGCAGAACTTGCTATAGACCCGTGGAAGTGTCTTTAAACAGTGAATCTTAAACAGCGAAGAGTCTTAAACAGTGTTGGAGGGAAGGGCATGAGCAGCCAAAGCTCTCTGTGAGCCAGAAGAATGACCACCAAACACCAAGAGAAGCAGGTGAACCCCCTTGGTCAAACCAACCCATAGACTTTGGGGAAATTATTCTTAAATTCCAACAAAAATTATAATCACAGATAATACCTCACAAAAGAAACCACTGTTGGAAGTATGTGATTTAGGTATACGTGTAGTAGCACTACAACAAAAATGTCCCTATTTTCACCAGTCATGGGTTACAGTCCTACATGTGCAGGCATCATCCATAAGCCCCACATCAAGGATTTGCTTTTCATCCTCCAAAAGGAAAAGAGCAAAACTCTTCAAAGCCACCTATTTTAGAAGTGGGGTAGCTGGTGATGGAGGAGCAGCCATCCCTTTGGAAAACCATCATGTGGCATGGACTGGTTTTGTGGGAGCAAAGGGGGATAAAAAAGGGGAGCAGAGCCCCAGTTCCTCATGCAGTTGGCATTTAACAGCAAAAAAAACCTCAAATCAAAAGTTTAAAATTTTAGCCATCAGAATCAAGGTATGTTATCTGCATGAGATGAAATGCATTTCAGAATCACATCAGACAAAGTATTTGGGAGATAGGGAGCAAAGAGAGGATGATCATCAGTGTGGAATACAAAAGTAAATGCTAACACCACTTTGGAAAATGTGCACATCATCACTTTGTGTCTGCTCTACCTAAACAATTAAAATATTCTGTTAATATTTTTTACCTAAGTATAACATACCATAACTTTAGCTCCCCTTCAGTGACAGTTTGTGCTTGGAAGTTCTGTTACAGTTTAAACAGAGAACTCAGGAAATTTTGAAATCATTGCCAGATATAGAGGCAGATTTCATAACAAGAGTTAAATGCATCATATGCTTACATGAGAGGGTCTCTCCTATATAACACTTGCAGAAATTATAAATTCTCCATATGCCAGCAGAGTTAATAGCTTCCTTAAAGGAACTTTCAAAAATTATGCTCGCACAGGGGTAAGTTTCCAAAACTTTCTATAGGGAAACAGAAAACCAGAGCACTTTTTAATACTGGGTTGTGACTGGAGGAAACTGAAATTTTCATCTTGCTTTTCATGACAGCTTTCCTACACAAGGCTTAAACTTTTAGGCACCTGAAGAAAGTGTCAGTGGGAATTCTTACTGACACCTGCTTCTCTAACTTCTTGAGTAGGCAGAAAACTTAGTCTGAAGTAAAGAAGGTAATGAGAGAACAGTTTGGATAGATGTGCCAAGGTTATGCAAAAATTTCAAAAGGCCACTCAAGGAGGAATCCTAGGAGACAAACTCCATGGGTTTGATGGAGATAAATGATATGAAGACAGATTTTTCCTTTTCTGCACAGTGCAATGGAAATGGTATTACAGCACTGATAAAAGATCTGATCTGGAAGCTCTTGCTTTCTCCAGCTGCTTTTCTATGATGTGACAAATAAAGGCTATTCTCCTTTTGGAAACATTTTTGTACGTTATAGCTTAAATTGGATTTCAAGTGGAGATTACAATTTCTTTCAATCAATTAGTAAAAGGCTGTATATCTTAGGTGTGTTGCAGAGGTTAACCACAGCTATGTTTGACCCACGTTAATTTTTCTCATTAGTCTATGATATCTACCAGCAATTTTACAGGCTGTTTTTGCAGGTTCAGTGAACTTTTCAAATTGTTTT